TAGTTGTGAGTTGTTGCACAAGACCCATCTATTATCCCTCTTGGGTATCTCAGTCAGAAGTGGGAAACTTTATAATTTTTGCCCTAATTTTTTATACTGTTATTGAACTTGCATAAATATTAGAAGGAAAAACCACCTCTCATGTGTACCAAACAAGCATCTGAGATATCATTGAATCCCAAGTTTAAAACTTTCAGATTCCGTAGCCCTGCAGAAAACATGACATAAAAAAGGTTACTTTTTGTTGTGAAGGTTGCTCTCAATGTTTTCCTAGTTCTATTAGAAAGTGTAGTATGTATCCCAATTTAAAAGACAGTCCATTATTCTTAAACCAAGAGGGAAACAAAGTAAAGTTTACATGTAAGCTACTTGAAAATTTTTCACACCCATCATCAGACAAATTACATCTGCTTAGGTTCAAATATAGCAGGGCAAGAATAGCTCAGATTAATACCTAACATGCATAACTTATACTATTATTAATCATAGTATGTCACAAGAAATCCTTCATTCATCACCAACATTTACCATGCCCAGTCAAAAATATTTAAGCAAAAAATCAAAAAATTAACAATCAACTCCTTTGAAAATTAGAAATCATCTTCCAAATAGAAAACATTCCTGAGAAAGTAATTTTTTTCATTTTCTCATTAATCGGATGCATTACACTTCCAAATATTTTTATTGTGAACATCACACTTTATAGAAAATAGGATCGTGCAGACCGCTCGAGCACGCATTTCTTCGCTCAAGCGGTGCGAAACATATAGGCTAATCGCTTGAGCGACCACTTCATTGCTCGAGCGAACTCATTAAAACACGTGCCCATCGCTCAAGCCAAGACTCCACAGCTCAAGCGCATACAAGATGCTCTTATAAATTTGGACGCTTTGCAAAAGTACTAAATAATACCATTCACCACTCGAGCACACAAATGATCGCTCGAGCAGTCAAATAACTTCAACTACATTTTTTGCTTCGGGGGTGCTACCCCTTGACCCCTCCACGAGGCGCTGCTCTTAGACCCCCGCGAGTTGGCCGGGCAACTCAACCCCCGTACATAGTCAGCGAAGTGGCAAACATGAAAGGATTAAGATCACAAACTCCTCTGCAAGGCACAATTCGCGTTAGATTCTCATCTAAACATTCATAGCTTCACTGAAACAAAAGAGCAAATAAAATTACAACGGAAAGGAATTTTGTCTAGCGAGATTGCCAATTACAAAAACCTAACAATGATCAATGATCAATTTGGGAATTGGGTTTCCAAATTTTAGAACTTGTCGGTCTTTGGTCGTTGTTATGGGTAACATGAGTTTCAAAAATTGCATAGTGATAAGAGAAGTTATCCATATATGATATGCATTGTTTCATTTTACCACTATGAAGTAGAGATGTAGATTAAATTCTACCCTATGACATGTATATAATATACTAAAAAGGAAATATGGATATGTATATATTCATATGATTTACTTACACAATAGGCAAGATTTATGAACTGGCAAGGAGAGTTAGAGTATCTTCTTATTATAAATCATTCACCCTCCGTTGAATTGGCAAGGAGAGTTAGAGTATCTTCTTTTCCTTGTCTAGTTTTTAAACCCCTTTATACCATGATTCATGACACGGGAAATTGCATCATTTGTCTTATCTGCTTTTTGATGAAAATAACCAATTATGCTCTCTGTGGTTTTCTATTAGTAAAATTTTATTGTTGCTATTTGAAATTAATTATAAGTACATGTTGGCTAGTGTTGTCCCAAGTGGAAGCTCAGTAGTTGGAATGATTTTTTGTTTTTTAGTTGTATGAATGGACAAGCTTTTTCTCTTGGGACAAAAGTCTAGCCCTTTGTCTTACTCTTTCACTTTTCTTTGTGGATGTTTTCTGTAATAAATTTGGGTTTGGGTTTGGTTTTTCTTATGGCTGGTAATCACTGCCTTTTTAGAAGTACCGATGATTGTCAATTCAGTTGAGAAGGGTATTAGAGATGTACTTGCTTATTTAGAAGTACCGATGACCGTCAATTGAGCAGGGTATTGAAGATGTATTTTGGATGAGCAGTGCATGTTTTCATGTGCCACTACTAAAAAAAGTACTTTTTGTGACTGCTATAAGTTGTTGCAAATAATAAAAATACAATCGCAAAAGATCTTTTGCGATGGCCCGCGTGACGACAAATAGGGGTCGCGAATGTGGGGGTGGCAAATACTTTTTGCGACCGCAAAATGGCAGTTGCAAACTATTTGTGACTGCCTAATCTACTTATGGCGACTAATGTTTTGCCGTCACAAAATTTTTTTTAAAATGCCTACAATGTATTAGTGACTATCTTGTTACCGTCGCAAAAAAAAAAAAATTAAAAAAGACCTACGATGTTTTAGCAACCTATATTCTCATATATATATATATATTCAAATATTATATACGATAAATGTAAAGTGATATTTGCAAAAATTCTAATACTCATGTATTATTTTCCATCACTTCCCTCAACAAAATTATCTTTCTTCAAAAAAAAAAAAAAAAGTGTACATACAAAATATAAGCTTCTATACATGCAAAACAAATATCCATCAACCATCCTTAAAAGTATGTATACAAAATACTAATAGATTCAAGTACTCAAAAACAAAACAAAAAACAAAAAAATCTCAGTTTAGCTCTCAATATCACCCACTCAATCATATCAACTACTCCCTCAACACTACCTGCGAAAATATACCTCAATATATTCTTGTCCCATGGAACATCAACTAACAAAGCTGGACCTGTTAAAGCAAACAAATTTAAACATCAAATAACAAATAAATAAGCACAAATGTAAGTACTATGCTGCAAGAAGAAGAAGAAATATTAGAATAAAAAGTTTGTAAGAACAATGATCTTTTCATGATATTCTTTAACTTCAATTAAAGACCTCCAGAGCTTTCAAAGGGTTGCCAATTATTTACTCTTCCCCAACGGACCTCATCATGTCAAGTGGTGTTACTTGTTAATCCCATAAATCTCAACTGAGTGCAACATAAAGTCACCAACCACAAAGAGATCAAAAACAGGAAAGTTGAGGAAAAGGTAGGATTCAAAATAAAGCTGAAGTTTTCCCCATAAAAAGAAGTAATACATAAGACAATACCTAACGATTCCTCTCAAAGATTCAAAATCACCTCTCTGGAAACAACTAATCCTGACTCAGTTGTGAGGATCTTATTTAAACACCGTACCCAAAATAGTAAAATCACCCAAAGTATAAAATAATATGAATGGATTATTAATCAAATTGCTTTACAAAATTTACATAATAAATCAATCAAGCTAATAAAATAATTGGCTAAACAATGACAAAAGAGCACTGTTGATCAATTTAACACCACTGAGTACTTCATTGGCAAGAATATCCCATCAAACAAAGTACTATTCAAACAAATGTCCCAGTGCATCAACACGAATACCATACGAATAGGTCATTTCATGATAGATAAGTTATTATATGAACTATTCTTCATGCTCATAGAAAGTGAGAGTAACTATCCAAACCCCTCAAAGCCCCTAAAAGGTGTTTCAGGACTGAATCTATGCGTAATCTAAAAAAAATTTCAATTGCCATAAACTTCCCTTCTCAAAGGAACCAAACAAAACAATATAGTCTCTCTTTTTTTTGGTGAACTTCATCACATAAACAAGAACAACGAATCAAATCACGAAACAAAAATTCAATCCCAGCACAAGTAATATATATATATATATATATATTTGATAACTTCATATACATACTAACTTAATCTAGAGACCAATCCTAGTCAATTGTAACAATATCTATATTCATCAAATGAACTAATAAAGTTAGAGAAGCACCTCATCTTCTTTTGAAGCTTCTTGCCCACTAGATGCATCCGGCACCTACAATTTGTTAGTATAATCTGTTAATAATTTCCATATGTATATATATATATATATATTTGATAAAACGTAAAATACATCAATTTGTAAGTATTGTACCTCTCTTAAGCTTGTACTTCTAGCTATGACTCTAAGAACAAAACACGTGTCGTCAAGTTCTCGATCGTTGTAGTGAACCTAGACTCAACGTCTTGTGGCACACGTCATGTGATCTCATCAATAAATGAAGGGGCTGTTGATGATTGGGATAGGTCATATATATATATATATATATATTTGATAACTTCATATACATACTAACTTAATCTAGAGACCAATCCTAGTTAATTGTAACAATATCTATATTCATCAAATGAACTAATAAAGTTAGAAAAGCACCTCATCTTCTTTTGAAGCTTCTTGCCCACTAGATGCATCCGGCACCTACAATTTGTTAGTATAATGTGTTAATAATTTCCATATGTATATATATATATATTTGATAAAACGTAAAATACATCAATTTGTAAGTATTGTACCTCTCTTAAGCTTGTACTTCTAGCTATGACTCTAAGAACAAAACACGTGTCGTCAAGTTCTCGATCGTTGTAGTGAACCTAGACTCAACGTCTTGTGGCACACGTCATGTGATCTCATCAATAAATGAAGGGGCTGTTGATGATTGGGATAGGTCGTAACCTCGCGCATACACCGCACTCCAGGGCACTCCTCTCCCATAAGTCTTGCAATACCCATGTCTATCCTTCCCAACAATTTTATGGTAAATCCCATCTTAATACTCAGTTGTATGTTGCTCTTTAGAAGCGTTCCAAACAAACCCATATAACCATCAAGACTTGATATAGAAACAATTTCAATCAATACAAAAGCTGTAAAGACAAACCATTTGAAAGCAAATTTAAGATTGAATTTGTTGGACTAGAAAAGATTTTTGGCTTCTTGTTACATTGTCTTATTGCATCATAGAAGTCCATCCAAATCCAATTATCATTCGACATGTCACATATGTACCCTTTCTATTACACATTATTTCGGTAGTCAATGGTATATAGCCATAGCTAAACAATTATTGGCATATAAAAACAAACTAAAATATAGCGTTTGTGTTAGATCACAAAAGGTCAGCACAAATATATCAGATAAGGATAACTGTGATGTTTTTTTTTTTTTTTATCATCATCCACAAACACTAGAGAAATATATAAGCAACAAAATTAAGAAGCCAAATATTTTACAAGACAAAAGGGACACCAATGGGAGTTATTTATTTCCATTAAAGTTTTGAAACTTTTCTATCATAAAATAAAAATGAAAGCCAATTTCAAATGTTTTATGTTCACTTAATTTAATCGATAAATACAAATATACAAAGTGATACGAATGACAAATAAACAAATGTATAATACAAATGTGCTGCAAAGTGCAAAGCCTCAGACCGTCCTAGTTCAAGGATTTCAACACCACGGCAAATGTTAAAAACTTGCATTTCGGTCAATTTACAATTTGTCATCATTGGCTAGCAGCTTCAGATTCAAAACTTGGAAATCTAGGAACAAAAAGAGGAAAAGAATAACAATACCATAGTTCTTAGTAAAAAAAAATAAGTAGAAATTACAATTCAGTGGCTCTTTAACAAAATAATTACTGATTCATGGAAAAATTATAACTTTAATTATTAATGTTCATAAAGTTTACCACTTATCTAAACTCATTTTTAAAAAATTATACTGAATTGTAATTTCTCAAAAAAACCAAAGCAAGTTAACAGTAAGTTTTTCACCTAAAAATCTTATTGTTGTTTACATAATCATAAATCAAGAGGTTAAACATCTGAAAATTAAACAAAAACAATGATGGCAATGCAAAAGTGTAAGACGTTAGGAGGTTTCAGCACATCACTGAATAAATCAGACATGGATAACTGTATAAGGAAAGTTGCTCCTCATATAAAAAATAAAGATAAAAAACAAGCATCTAGAAGCACATAAATTAAACATAAAATCAGATACAGAAAATATATTATTAGACAGGATTTTCTCAAATTGAAACCCACCAACTGAAATGTGTATTTCCTGTGTCCGGTTCTATATTTGGTTTTTGTGATTAAATATGTAATTAAACATGCTTGTGTGCCAATCTTTCAGGGTAGCTATGGAACAGTTCACCATCCATACGGAGATATAGGAGTGATTGGTGGACACACAACATGGGGGATGGAGGGAAAGAAGCGAGAGTGTCAAGGTATAGAGAAGCGGCGTAAGAAGTTCTCGAAAGAAAATAAGGTATGAGGTTCAGAAGTTGAATGCAGAGAAGAGGCCCAGAATGAAAGTGAGGTTCATTAAGAGGGCCAATTTTGTAGGACTTGGTTTTCTTTTGCTTAACAAATGAAATGTCAAATTATCTATCTAGTTTTGCATGTTAATTATGCCTTTATAATGGTATTGTACATAACTGCTATTAAGGAAAATGTTAAGCTTACAGAAATTTCATACAAAAAAGTCATACAGAATGTTGTGCTGGTGACATTTTGGCAGTTATATAAATCGTAGTGATAAGCTCTTTGAATGGCTGTAAATAAGCCAAATCATTCTGCTTGAAATTTTTGTATAGTTTGTATAGCATTATTCATCTAGTAAATAAAATCTAAGCTCAAAAACTTACCTATTACAAGCATGGTTCACGGGAGCAAGTGGATCTGTTATGAGCTAAAATATTTCTCAATGTTGAACCAAAAAATACCTTATTCAATCATGATACATGACACGGATATATATATATATAGAGAGAGAGAGAGAGTGAGAGAGAGGGTACCGAAGAGCAAAGAGGAGAGCTAGATTACAGAGAGAGACAGAGTGATTTATTCTATTATTATTCAATCAACCTTCCAACATTACAGATTAATCAACCATTATAGAGAGTAATTCATTTTCAATTTACACATCATAGATTAAAAAATGAAAATGTGTCAAACATTACAAAGAGTAAGATTCTAGCAATGAACATGAATCGATGAAGATGTGTCAAACATTATAGAGAGAATCGATGAAGATGTGTCAAACATTGCAGAGAGAGTTGAATCGATGAAGATGTATCAAACATTATAGAGAAAGACAAAGAGAAATGTTCAGGCTTACCGATTATGAATCTCGATTATGAATCGATCAAATCTTCACTGTCGAGGGAGAGAGAGTGAGATTCGAGCAAGAGAGAGTAAAGATTCAAATGAGAGAGTCGAGCGAGAGACAGATTTTGAGAAAGAGAGAGAGAGTTCAGATTTGTAAAATAAGGGGGGGAAAAAAGGACATAGGTCAAGTTTTACATGATTTTTTTTTTTTTTTTTTGGGGTTTTTTTTTTTGGGAAGGGAGGGTTAAGAACACGATTAGGTCAAGTAAAATGAGATTTTGATGTAAAAAGTAATTTTTTTGCGCCGATCAAATAATCAGTCAAAAAAAATAGACGCAAAAAGTCATATTTCTAGTAGTGTGCATGTATGGAGAATTGCTTCATGTCTTATGAGATATTCTGAAAATCCAGGTGGCAGTAGTCCATTAGCACAAATTTGACATTTTGTTATAGGATACGTTTGGACTTTTAGATTTCAGTCAAGGTTGGTCGATCCACTAGCTTTTTGTGGAAGCGGGATAAGTAATGAAGTGCTGATAGGATATATTGCCTAATCTAGAAAGGGGATAATGCCAAGTTTTGAGTAATGCATGAATCTCCCTAACTTTTTTTGTGTGTTTTGCAGGGACAGAGTCTCTGAAAAACAAAAAAATATTGTATCCTTCTTCTGCTCCCTTTTTATGTCATGTTTCTTGAAATATATAGCTTTTTGTTTTGATTTAACCGAGTTGCTTGTATACCTAATAATACCTCTGAAGTGATTGTCCTTTATTGTAGGCATTACTACACTTTGAAATTTTGCACCAACATTGACAATTTTTGTTTGTATCTGTTTTTCACTTAACTCTTGAACTTGTAGCTCAAATTTGAGAAAGAACATAGAAAATTTAGAGAAGAATAGTGTAACCAGTCACAAGACATTGGTCAATCTTGGTTCTGAAGTGTGCATGTAAGCTGATGTGTAAGTCTTTCATATCATCATATCTTTTCTAATTATATTTGACATGCATAATATTCTAGTGCTGCATGTGTGTTCATATTATGTATGTATCTTGTTGTGTTACATGAAAATTCTATATCTTCTTGTGTTCTATGAAAATTCAATAACCTCAAATTCTGTAGTTTGGTTCTTTTGTTGTTTATTATTCACTACTTTTCCTTACTATTAATATGGGACTAACTTACCACAATGATGAGCAATAATTATATCATGTGAACCATTTAGCCGCGGTCAATGGGCAACCATAATCCTAAGATTCCATCTATTGATGAAGTGCTTTACTTTCCATTAGTTGTTGCACCAAAAGTTTCATATTTCAGTTCTATTTTTATTTTTACTTTTTAAAATTTATTTCCATCTCACCATTTTGTGAGAAATTTGTTTTGAATACTTTTAGCTAAGAATCATGGACATGAACAAGTGCTGACATAACAATTTTTAAAAAATATAAGACACGGCTTGTATATGGTTTTATCTATTTATTATATATCATATAGACAAATATTTTATTCATTTTTAAAGTTTTAAGGATAATTGATTTATGTTTGTAAATTTGCTAGTTTTTCATTTGTCATTAAATCTTTTTTCTTTTCTTTTTTCAAACATGTTTTATGTGCATCTAAATGAAATTCCCCCCCCCCCTCGCGGCAGTGTTCGAAGCTTGTCTAAGTTCAATATTTTTAATAAGTAATTGGGCGTATTTGGAAGTGTCCAATGAATATCGGTATCCAACACTTGTCGGATATAGAAATGTCAAGCAGTGGCGGAACCAGAAAATTAAATTTGAGGGGACACTTAGGGTCTGTTTGGTAACCATTCTGTTTTCAGTTTTCAATTCATATTTACCAAAATTTAAAAAACTGTCATAAAAACTTGTTTGATAATTTTTTTGGTTTATAAATGGTTGTCTGAGTTCATAAATTTGAGGAAAAAAACGTAAACTCAAAAAATAAGTTTACGTTTTCAGTTTCCAATTATTTTTTTCAAATAATTTTTTTTTTCAATTAATTTTTTTTAATTAATTTTTTTCAATTAAATATTTTTTCAAATAATTTTTTTTTCAATTATTTTTTTTTCAATTAATTATTCTTTCAAATAATTTTTTTTCAATTAATTTTTTTTCCCAATTATTTTTTTTCAATTAATTTTTTTTTCAAATAATTTTTTTCCCCCATTTAAATTTGTTTTCAATTAATTTTTTTTAATATTTTTTCCCAATTAATTTTTTTTCAATTATAATGTGTGTGATCCCATTGTCATGAATAATAAAAATAAATATAAATATTTTAGGCCTGACCAAAGATATTTTTTAGTTTATGTTTTTAAAATTTTTTAAATATTTTGTTCAAACCAAACGCGTTTGTAATTTATGTTTTTCTAAAAATAAACAAAAATCAGTTTATAAAATTTTTGTAAACATAAACCAAAAACGTAAACGTTACCAAACGCTACCTTATTAATTACAATATCGAAAATTTTTACAAAAATATTTCACGCAAGTTTTACGATTGATTTCGAGAAACATCAAAAAAAATAATGTTATTTATAACTAGTATATCATGGACAATACAAAAAAATTGTAGATATAAGTCTTAAAATAAATTATATAATGATAAAAAAAAATTATACAAAATTTGATTAAAAATTCAATATAATGGATTATCACGTCATCATTGAAATGTGATATCACCAACTAATAGTGCATAAACACATAGAGAGTGAACCTCACATGTCAAATATAACTAACAATCTAATAAATTTTATATCTTTATAGTGAGATTACTTATACTTACATATCAATAATAATGGCATCACTGTTATATTAAAAAAAAATTATAGATAATATGATTTATAATAGTCTATTCATTTTCAATTAAAAACACCATTATTATTCTCAAAATTTTTAATGTGCTATTGACATTTCATTTCTAATAATTTTTTTGTTTAAAATATATTTTTTATATTTACAAAATTTAAAAAAAAAAAATCAAAATCCAGGATAACGCGTGACCCCCTGGGCCTCCACCTCCTCGGCCACTGCATGTATTTGAACGCAAAGTAACT